GCCTGCTTCTCCCTCTGCCTAGGTCTCTCATGAATAAATAAAATCCTAGAAAAAAAAAAGTGTGCTGGAGTACTAGACCATGTAATTCATCAGGCAGGCTAATTTTATGGAAAAATCCTACAGCGCTACATAGGTAAGTGTTGAGTTACCTGATGTGAATTTAACATATTCTGAATTTTCTACATCATCCTATCTCCTGATAGAGCTTACTCCTAATGCATCAGACCCTTATGGGTTTATCCGAAAGAGGAACCTAGCCATACTTAGGGTCTCTTTTGACTATACCTAAATATATCAACCTTTGAGTTGGAATAAAAATTAGAAAATCAACAGTGTCTCACTTAATGAGCGTTTCCCAGACAGGCCCTATGCCAACATTTTCATATGCATTTCCTTTTCATCCTAGCAGAAGTGTGAGGAGGTATTATCACCACCATCATCTAGTAAGTGAAGCAGAGTTCAGGGAGGTTGAAAAACCCAATGATAAATGGGTGGAACCAGATTTCAAAGCCCAATCTGCCTGAACGGAAAGCCCGGGATAGGACTACTCTATTTAGATGTGTGTGCGCTTTTCTGAAGGATTAAAAAAGAAACATATCCAAGGTTCTAAGGTTCACGACATTGTATTCAGCAACACTGAGGTCTGAATTTATATTTTAGGTTATAGGCTTCAGTGATATCACTGCCACAGTTTGATTACAGTTCGGGGAAAGTCGGCACGTTCAGATCACACTTTTGCCAGGAGGCGACTGTCAGGCAAACAGTTTGGGGGAGACCATCACTTGACATTCTGAAACAGCTGAAATACCTTTTTGTTCAAGTATCTTCCCTGCTGGTTTTCGTACATGGGGTCGACTGCAGGCACTTCCTGTATGGCCAGGAGTGTGAGCGAAAGAAATATATTTGAATAATTTCTTTAAAATATTTCAAATTTTTATTAAATATTTTTATTCAGTTTTAAGATCACAGTTAAAGTACTTTAGCATGTTATACACATGAGTTACATGTGCAATTTTTAGAAATATCAAATTAAGTATAAGATTTTGAAGAAAGAAATTATATAAATGTGTATATTGACTTTTACTACACATACATCTAAGAAAGCAATAATTCTGTTGTACCATTAAGTGGAAATCATTTATTACATGGCATGTTTACACCAACTCTAAAGAGAACCAAGCCAATTTCTGAAAGCAAAAAAAAAATAAAAATAAAAATAAAAATAAAAAATAAAAAATGAGCGATTCAGTCATGCTGAAACTGTCAACAGACTTAAGACCTGGCGGTCAAATGAAGCTATGGTTAATTTAGGACATGGAAGTAAGCAATTCAAACCTATGAGAAAAGTTCATAATCTGGTACATGGAATCTCAGGTGGTTTTTATTCTTTTTTGGACAAATTCCTGAGAGCAAGAGACTTGTTTAGTGCTAATGAAGTGAGAAGAACGCTGCTGAGCATGTGCTGAGCTCCAGGTCACACACCCGCCCCCCCCCCCCCCAACCCGGGTTCTGCTGCTCTTACGGCCAGGCACTAACGTGAGGTGTCAGGGGACACGGGCCAGCCCCGGGGGGCCGCAGAGGGGCAGCGGTGTTAGTTCGCGACACACACGTGCCTCTGTGATTCAGGTTAGAGCCTGTGAGGTATGATTGGCGGTGCGGGTGGGAGGGTTTGGAGGCGTTGAATTAGGTCCTTGTTACTCAGTAACCAGTTCTGGCCCAAGTTAGCGGGCGATCTTTGGAAGGAGTAGGAATTTTCACGATAACTAGTTCTGCGCACAGATCGATCTGAGGGCAGGATCGGTTTGGGCCACCGACGGCGACAAGCACACCGTGGCCAGGGAACGTAATACAAGGTTTCCTCTTCCAATTTATTAGCATAAATCCTACCGCCACAGAGAAAATTTGGCCAGCAGAGGAAACCACCTTTTTTTGTGTGCGAAGAAAAAAAAGTAGACTTCTATTCTTTAAGGAGAGCCTAGCACAAACAGATGGAGGTGTATCAGGGGAGTCCGATCTATTTGTCTTGTTATTCACTATTTTGTCACTTCTTTCATCTGAAGTGTAAGGAAAAGAGTGTCCCCCGTGAAAAGGACAAGGTGATTTAATATGGAGTATAATAAACTCAGCGATCACTTCCAAACTAAAGCAGAGCAGTCCATCAAACCCTGAATACTTCACCAGACGGAGCTGGTAAGATACACTGAACAACTGTTTCTTATATTATAAGTATGATGTTAGTCTAAATAAGATAACTTTTAAAAATCCCAAAACTCAAATAAAAACAAACTCCAAATCTAGTTCTTTGGGAATGCTCGTATAAATAAAAGCCACATCTAATTAACAATTAGTACACTCTTTATAAGGTGCAAAACAAGGTCCTATGTGGGGAGAGCTAAATTTTCATTCCCACCTAGCGGTCGCTCGGAATACTTCGGAGGCCGGACGCAGTAAGACATTTGCTTCTCCTGCCCATTCTCCGCAATACGTCGCTCTCTCTGGGGGAGGCGGTGTGTGAAGTCCGAACACTGCAGGGGGCGACAATGGCACTGAAGGCAGAGGCAGAACGGGCGAAGCTGGGCGACAGGACTTACTGACGTGGAGCTTGGAAAGCCGAGGTAGCCCGTTACCATTGGCCTGATGTGAGGGGCTCTGGGGAGCAGCGCAATCACGGGGGGAGGCTCCTCCACAGCATCGCGGGGACACCCGGGCTCCCCGGTGACACAGGGTGGTTCTGGGCCCCGCACAGCTTCCTTCCGAGGTCTCCCCGGCGAGGCGCTCCTCCTGTGCCGCGTGGACGCCGGCCTCCTGCCCCGGCTGCTGGTCTCCAGACGCGGGGGCTTCATACAGTAGTTCGGCAGGCAGCGTGGTCCCCACTGCTTCACATTAATGCCAGACGCCAAGCTGGGAACAGAGTTATCTGATACCCCCCCACCCCTTCCCTCCCCCCAAACCGTATCCACCAAACAGGTCATTCCGTTTCCAGCTTACTCCTGGTTCTGTATCAATGTGTAATTTGCTTGAGATTTTACAGAGGTGCAAACTTTTCCGTACGATGAGCCAAAGACTGCAGAGTGCAAACAAAATTTTCTGGGACTTAGGCGGAGTAGCATCTGACTTGGTAAGAAAGTGACGGGGCATAAACGGGTTGGAATATAAATAACCAGACCAGTTCAGATGCTCCTTTTCTTTCGGAGTGTTCCACCACTTTTTTTTTTTTTCTCCAGCAGTTTTAATGGCAGAAACTAGAATGAGTGATAATGTGGGAATGATTTCAGCATGGCTTCGAGATGGCATTGGTAGAAAGCTCATCTGATAGAATTAAATGAACGTAGTTCTGGTATTTGTGGGGGAAAAAGACTGTCAAGAGTTACAACAGTATGATTTATCCTCATAAAAGGGCTTTGATGCATTACACTTTTATCTAAAATCTGGGAACTAACCTAATCCGGGGATAAGAACCTGTGTCGTCAGTGTGGCTGTGGGACATTTTTCCTTTTCCTGATCTCGTTACAGTTATCCAAACAAATAAAAACTTAAGAAGGATGTCTTACAGTATTTTTTTCTTTCACTCAGCTTTTTAGAGCTGCAGCTTCAGTTACTATAATATACTCTACACACTTCAAAATTACATAGGAAAATACCCAGAATAACTAAATAAATAAAAGGCTAAAGAAAACTGGAACAGTACTGCGTCTCCATCTGAGACTAAATCATCCACTTCGGCATCACAGAGAAGGGCTAGGACAATTTTTTTCAAAAGATTTATATACAGGTTTGAATCCAGAAATTAAGGTTAAAAGCATAAATATTGATAATTTCAACTAGTTTCAGAATGGTTTTTCAGAAAGATATGATACAACAATTTAGAATAAAACAAAGCAGAAGAGCATCATATTTTGGTTTGCTTGAGATATACATAAGGTGCAACAACTTTTTGAGGATGCTTGTGGGACAAATGTTAGTGTCGATGGTATTTGCTGGCAGATTAAGGTACACACCATAGCAATACGATTTTCCAAGATATAAAAGAATGAGAGAAATGAAGTGAAAATGATAGATGGGAGGGGGGTACTACATGTTGGTCTGAAATATTTGTGCTAACAAACGTTGTTACCTGAAAATACCAACACCCTTCTCCAGCGGATTCAGGGCATGAGAAAAGCACTATTATTGAAATCAAGACTTCACTCAGAGAAACAACAAGGCGAGTGTCTAAAGGACTATAAAGCTTTGCAGGATTTCTGCTACTCTCAGTGCCTAACCGCTTAAAAATTAAGCATTTCTACAAAAAGTTTTTTTTTTTTTTAAAGTATCTGAAAACAGTCATATCCAGTAGATTGCCCTCCCACCCCACCCCTGCCTAAGGGAAAAGCCACTGAGGTTTAGGAAAAGCAGATCAAGTAAGATATTAATCACATAGAAAAAAGTAATCTTTTGTTTTGCTTCTTTTTAAAAAAGGTCCCATGAATATACAGCAATCTCTTAAGGAAATCTAGTGAAATGTAATTGGAGGACTGAAGGAGGGTGCTCTGGCAAAAATAGATCTATTCTAACGTGTTCTATAGAATAACAAGTTAGTACCATTGTCAAGGTGCATGTTCTGCACCAAACAATTTTTGTTGTTGGTTTCTTTTTTTTTTTTTTTTTGGATTTTTAGCTAATTATAATTTTTAAATCACTGCTAGCAAGTGGTCCAAAAACTCCAACAGCCACCAACAATGGGACCCAGCAATTTTCAAACATTCACTTTGTGTTTTGAAATTTAGAAAATATTAATAAAACAGCATCATAGTAAAAATATTATGCTAAAATCTGGGGCTGCTCACCTGATTTATTTCTACGTGAATAGGGTTAAGCTCTAACCTGACTAACCTAGCTTACTAATTCCTTCTTCCTCCATGCTCACAATGATTATGCATTTTTGAGGACACCATTCCAATAATGCTCTGCTGCCCTCTTCACCTGCTTTGAAGGAAAAAAAAAAAAACCCAAACACAAACCAAACAAATCCCTATATTCTTTTTCAATTCTGTTAGTATGTTGTACATATTTTCCAGCACCGAAACTGAAGTAATATCTACAACTATGAAAAGCTAAACCTAGTCAGTACTAATAGAGTCATTTTCTGTATGGCTATTAGGTCAAATTACGATTAGAAAAAAAAAATCATCATTACAATTGAGTCAAGTATAAATAAGAAAGCTAGATAAAACCTTGTAAACTGTCACCATTTAGAGATCTAATTCAAAAGCTTCAAACTCGAACTAACGCTATCAAAATTCCGCCAGTTTGAAAACCAATAAAAATTATTGCTGGAATCCAATAATTAAAATTTGGTAGTTTGTGCTGTGATGCAAGAGTGGGGATACACTTTGTGCTATGGAACAAATACCCTGTAAAATCGGTAGCCTCCGACTAATTTTGATTTATCACTTTGCATGTGTTGCTAGGAAACAAGACACTGTGAATGTCAGGTGGTTAAGTCAGTATGTCCAATGTTCTAATAAGCCAGGTAATCCACTTGGCACTGGCATCCGTATGGTTGGTTTTATGTTCAAAAGCAACAAAACACAAAAAGGAAACAAACTTGCAGGTGGCTCTATGACTAAGACTCCCACCCTGGTCAAGCATACCTCCCTCAGCATTTATTCAATACCTCCTTAACAACACAAACTCAAAAATGGCTCTCAAAACCTGCAATGCCAATCAGGCTGTGCATAGCAGTTGCTACCCGTCCAGTCTGTCTGGGAAGGATGGAAAAGGTCTGTAGCTCAAAGTCCACATGAAGTGAGTGTCTTCAATGTGTTCAGAATAGTGAAGTAATACTAAGGTCACTTCTGAATAATATTTTTCTTTTTTTTTTTTTTTTGTTTGTATGAACGATCCATCGGTCACTGAGACCCCTGTGTAAAAATAAAAGAATCCTCAAGGCATGAAAACATCAGTAATCTGTAATCTGCAGGACTCTTCCCCTGTCTGGGAAAATATTTGCCACAATTAGCCCCAAGCAAATTCTTGGTCACTCGAGGCTAAGAAAAAAATTCAGCTTGTAAGAATTCTAATTTTCTCTCTCTCTCTCTCTCTCTCTCTCTGTCTTTGCCAGCAAACTACCACTCTGGTGGCAAATATAAAAGTGCAGAATATATGGACCACGAGGCCGAGCATACACCGCTAACAATGGTACATCTGCCTGCCCGTGCTGCTTGGGAGTCTCTGGAACAGGCCTTTTAATATTATTCTACAATATAAATGTAGGTATAACCTATTATATAAACCATCTTAGAACTTAAATCTCCATGTACAAAAAAGACTAAGAATATCTAATAATAACTAGTGCAGTGCGTCAGTTTTTGTTTTTGTTTTTTTTTGTTTTTTGTTTTTGTTTTGAAAGAATAACTAGGTAATATACGAAACTAGTTTCACACTCTCTGGTTGGTAAAAGAGATGCTGGATGAGCTACAGTAAAGGCAGCCTTTTACCAAGTTACCACCTATTACCGTCAAAAGCCTTCAATAGAAAGCAAAGCTCCAGGTTCATTCTGTTTCTGCTCATTATCAGACAGATAACATCACCCTCCAAGACTCTGGGTTCCAAAAGAACAAACTGGCCCAGGATGCTAACTTCTGCTTCAAGTGAATCTGGGCCGTGTAGGGCAACAAGCACTTGTTTGCAGTCTATATTTTCCACCATCTGGACTCACTAGCATCCCTCGGTAAAGACAAGGCTAGGGTAGTAGGTAAAGCACAATGTTTTACAATTAAAGGGCGCTTCACTGGTCAGCGCAGGATATAAGTACAGGAGCCTGTGGCATTTCTTTTGGCTGTCCGTCATGGGTGAGCGGAGTCGACCTCTGACCTCTGCAAAACAAGAAGGGAGGAAGAGAAGTCACCCACTTAGAGTATGTTACCAGAAATAGGAGAGGGCGATGAGCAACCAATAAAAGCTTTCCAGTATCATTAATCACTAATGCTGACTTGTTACTTAGGCTCTTTCACCTTTCTCTTCTTAGAGCTCTTTCTTTTTTGAACATTTCTTATCTCGGTTTCCCCTCACAAGACTCAAGGCATAGGATGCCCTAAAACAAGTACCTCCATTTTGCAGAGGTGAAACCTGAAGCACCACCAGATTTGGGGCGACTCCCTAAGAAGTGGGAAACTTTCAATTGGCGGCCATGATTCTAAGACAACAGTCTTCCTCTTGATCCACTGATATTTAAATATGACTCATTCCCTTCCCTGAGCTGCCCAAGAGGAAAACTCTCCTATACTCATTGGTGACCTCCAGGCTCATTTCCCAAGGTATATGATAATAAACTCAATTTAAAACTGAAGGCCAATTAAAGCGATGGCCCCGGAGACTAGAGTTTGTGTTTGTGACTCTAACACAAGTGAGGGAAGAGACGACAGCAAAGTCCCATGGGCACACAGAGAGCAAATGCACGGGGGAAAAGGCAAGCAGGGACTTCAGGGTGTGAGAAAACCCGGGTGACTTGGGCCAAATCAACACACGTGGAGAGAGAACCCCAGACACGACTAGAAAATTCATAGAAATACCCATCATTTGGATTGGAACTACACCAAACTGATTTTAAATTCGGCTTTTGTTGAATGAGTAGGAACAAACTGACTTCACAGTTACGAGGAAACCCTTCAAATTCTTGGTAATTTCTACAGAGCTTCTCCTTCTAAAAAAGATAGGATGGGGCACTTCCTGGACTTTTCCCAACAGGCCCACCAAAGACCAGGCACCGTGCACTCGCTGCCCTGGCCTGCAATGGTCTGCACGGGACTGGCTGGAAATCTGGGATGCAGCAGCCAGGCTTCCGGGGGCTTGACCTTTTCAACACAGTATCTTTCTTCAGATTACGGAGAACAAAAGGAGCTATTTAAAAACTGAAATATCTTCTTCATAATTATACGCAAGAAAGATCTCTTGAGGCACACACACAAACAGTGTAGATACATTACAACATTTGGAGATTTCAGAATCCAATAATCACTTAGCCCGAGATATTAGGATTTTAGAAAAACAAAACATGTGTTATAATCAAACCTCTGGATTAATCTGTTCATTCATGTGGGGATGCTGTAAGCACCAACTGTTCAATATGTTCAACTCTTTGTTCAAGAAAGATGAAATTAAAATGTGATTTTCTTTTCTACCTTTAAGATTGAATATGTAACAATATTACAAAAGCTAAAAGAATTTTAATAAGTATTGAAAAAGGAAACCTAAGAAGAAAAAAGAAAAGTGAAAGATGAAGACTACAGTATACATAAAAGAGCCAACAGGGGCAGAGAGAAACTGGGGTGAAAGCCCAGCTGAGTCCAAGAAAAACAGCAAAGGAGGTGGGAGCCCGACGTGGCTACAGCTAAGTGATGGCTACAGGTCCCGGTGTAAGCAGCGGCGAGATTCTTCATGACTTCCTAGGACGTGACAGATGCCTGCTTAAGCAGTGGGCTGGAGAAAAGGCAGACGCTGGAGTTCAAGGACCCTAGTTCAAATCTTAACTCGGTTTGCTGTGCATTCTTGGCAAATTAATCATCTGCAACATCATTAAAAAGGGATCAAAAAGACCCACCTGGCAGGGCTGATTTTAGGACTAAATTTAATGAGCTTTCCCCTTCTGAAATTTCTAGTAAATAGATAGGCTCTCAACGAAGGTTTGTTCCAACTTCCTATTTCCCTGCATTTTGCAAAACGGCCTTTCTACGTTGGATTTCTGAACCTAAGGTTAAGATTTCTCACGACAAGAATGCAGGTAATACATTTCTGCCCCCAGGGCAGCCCGGGTGGCTCTGCGGTTTGGCGCCACTTTCAGCCCAGGGTGTGATCCTGGGGACCTGAGATCACGTCGGGCTCCCGGCATGGAGCCTGCTTCTCCCTCTGCCTGTGTCTCTGCCTCTCTCTCTATCTCTCATGAATAAATAAATAAAATCTTAAAAAAAAAAAATTCTCCCCCCAACTCTGCTGATCACCCTCTAGGTGATGCCTAAGCAGTAATGAATGGATGTGCAACCCAGTTAAAATTACATTAAGTCTGTTGGTAGATGGCATCTGGTAACTGCTTTAACAGGTAAGGACTAAAATTACAACTAAGATTCTTCAGAGGGGCATCTGTTTTTCTAGGTATTAAGAACACAGGCCATCTGTGTGATTGATAGATTCTAGTATGTAATACTGTTCTTTCTCAAGGGCGGTTTCGAGGAAAAGAATCTTTCTTCACACGATTTTCTCTATGCCTGCTAGTGAACTTAGGTGGTCATACTTCGAGAATACCTCATTTACTCATCTACTCATTCCTTTGTTTGCTCATCCACTGGTGTAACCGACAGAGCTAAGGAAGCTGGGGACATGAGGATTAAAACCAGGGCTCTGCTTTCAAAATACACTGGAAAGAGACAGATGTGTTGATGAATAATTACAACCCAGTGCGGCAGTTGGTCTTGGAGAGTGTGCACAGACGGTGTGCAGGGACTTTAGGAGGAGGGCCGAGAGATGAAAGCAGGACTAGATATGGAAGGAGGGGCGGGGCAGCAGTTTGTCCGAGAGGGAGATGTACAAAGGCAAGAACCTGGCTTATCTAGGTGGCAGCAAGCGATTCCATGCAACTGCAGGGTGGTGAGGATGGGGTGGTGGAGAGGAGAGTAGAAAGATTTGCTCAGGCTTCCTGCTGTTGCAAGCCTGAAGTCACGGAGGGTTGCTTAACAGAGCCAGGGTGTGACCACAGGCGTATTTAGAGGGGAATGCTGGCCGCAGCAAGGGGGACTGTGTGACAGACCTTCCTGAGTCCTGAATTATGACCCCCTCTGACTTCTTACATTGCCTCTTATTTCAAAAATTTATGGGGCACTTAGTAACACGCAGGCATATAGTTCATCTTCTCTCATGCGTATGAGTCTGTCCTCTGTGCTCTGACCATAAAACCCCTTGAGTGGAGAACTGTGTGTTCTTTCCTTCGGAGACTTGAGCGGAGTTTAACAGTGTCTGTCAGCATTCACTTGCTATTAGGCACCTGCAGTATACACATGAAAAGGAATCTGACTTTTTGGAACTATCTAGAGGCTATTTGTGAGGAAGTTCTAGAGCTGTAATGTGACAGGTAAAGAGCCAAGAAGCAAAGCTTAAATCATCAGGGCCTCCTAAACATGGATGTGGAGAAGGAGAGTGGAGCCCAAAGGGCAGGGGTATGGAAGTTGTGCTAGATCTAAAACTCTCGTACTGAAGACTGAAAGTCTGGGAAAGTAGCTCATCTGTGAGTAATCCACCTTGAATAAAAGTCTGAAATACGTGAATTTACAAATGGCTTTTCTGTCTTCCCAAAGGATCCATTAAATAGCGGAATACCCAATTATACACTTAGGGCTTTAATATACTTTTTCTGGGGCTTTACTGAGTTCAAAAGGCTTTCAGACTTATGATCTCATGTGATCTTTCCAACTCTGTGATTCTTTGGGGATATCATTATGCTCACTGGGAGATGAGAAAACCTAGGCCGAGAGAAAGAAATGACTTTTTTTTTTTAGCAAACAGAATAAGAAACATCCAGGCCCTCCATAAGTCATATGACAAGATGCTCTTTCCTGACCACCGTTTTCTTCATAGCATCACCACTACCACCAATGGCTTCCTCGAGGCGGGGTTTACCATGTGCCAATGCTGGGATATTAGCTCATTCCACAGAACACCTCTATGAAGTAAGTGACTGCCACTCACCCCCATTTTATAGAAGGAAAACTGGAGGGGAGAGAGGTGAATGATCGATCCTGCTCAAGACCTTGCAGTTTGCAGATGATGGATGTAGGACTCAAACCCAGGTCTGAGGCCTGACCTCCAAGCTCACACTTAATGATTAGCTGTTGCTTCTCTGCTCTCCCAGGCTTTTTATGGAAATGCAGTCTAGCCACAGAATAATAGATTCAAAATGCAACAGGTGGCTGACTAAATTTCCCTATACTTTCCCACAGTGCTAATTAGGATGCACATTTTTATAACCTGTCATGTAACTTGCTCTTGAACCGAGTTTTGTAAACCGCAAGGCATTGTGAAAAATACCACAAATAATCACGTCAGAAAGTATGATTCAGCTTCCATGTTGCTCTCTCTATCCCTGTTGTGCACAAGGGGGTAAGGCTGAGTAGGCCCCCCAATGTCGTGGTGGGGCACACCCCTAACCTGTGCACGTTTTCCATGGCGGCCACTTCGGCCAGCGCGGCGAGGCTGAAGAACGCAGACACGGCTGGCATCTCCGGAGTGCTGCTCCGAGTCTCTGCGGTCTCGGGGTTGTGTGAGCATTCGTCATTGCAGCCGGTCTGGCTCACTTTAGGGAGACTCCTCTGCAGTTGTTCCTTTGGTTTGTCGTCTGTAAAGAAAGGGGAAATTCATCACAACAGGATCACTGTGTTCTCTCCAGAGAAGGGACATAGAGAAAAAACTCTGTGCCAGACAATGTGAAATGAGCTAATATTCTTCGTTCACTTTTGTCATCTATCGAATACCAAGGCTTTTATGGATTCTCTTCTCCCATGGTAATAAAACTCTTTTATTAAGCTCAATTGCAACTATGGACAGTGTTATGCCCTGAAACTAAGTGGAAGAGAAGCTGTGTTTTATCCAAGGTCAAAGAACAGGTCAGTCTCAGAGTAAGAGGGGAAATGGGCCTTGACCAAAATAAAACTGATGGGATTTCTGCAAAGGAGCCTGTGACTGCTGTAGAAGGCCCCTAAAAACCCAACTGAGGAAACATTTCTGATGAAGCTGTAGGATGCCCTGCTATGGCAACTTGGCCATTTGGTATGCTGTGACACCAGCGTTCAGGATGGCCTGCACCAATCCCACCAGTAAGATCAGTCAATCCCAGCGAGATCCCAAGTTGTTATTCTTGTTCTGAAGACCTACTGGAAGGAAGATGAAGATGAAGGGCCATCTGGTGTTTAGGAAGAGGTGCTAAAATGCTATGAAAATATACCTGTTGGAAATGAGTACACTTTCTTTATTACATAGCCATTATAAAGGAAGAGGAATCTTTATTATGATTTTTAAAACATTTTAAGTATAGAAAAGCAAGTGATAAAAGCTGTAAATGTCATATATTAGAATATGAGAGTGCTATGTGCTTTTCTAAATGAAGGTAATATTTCTAAGATCTTTCACTCCTTCTATGAGAAAATGAGGCTGTAACAATTTATAAAATCAAAATCACAGAACAGAACCCCGAGTGGGAAAGAAAGAGCAAGGGGCCTGCTGGATTAAATATCAAAAAAACTAAATTCTAGTCCTCATCCTACTTGTACCTAAAAGTTCAATGTATTCAAAAATGAAATCCTACCTCATTGAGGGGTATTCATTTCAAAAATGAAATCCTACCTCTCTTATATAACAGGGTAAAATGGGGGTATTTAATATGCTTTATTGTTCTATCAATCTATACATGCTAAACACAAAATGTGCACAAAACTCAGTCACTGTCTTCCTATTGTATCTCAGCAATGAACGTTTATTTGCTTAGATTAACCTAAATCAGGTATTTATAAATATTACTCAAAATATACTCATTTAATCATTGTTCTTAATTTTACTGATTTATCATTTCATTATGCTAAGTATACTCTTTAATCCCCATCACCTACATTACCCATCCCCCCTACCACCTCCCCTCTGGTAACCATCAGTTTGTTCTCTATAGTTAAGAGTCTGTTTCTTGGTTTGTCTTTCACTGTTTTTTTTTTTTTTTTTCCCTTCTGCTCTAAACACTTTTTCCAATTTATAGAACTCATTATGGACCTGTGACCTTTTTCTGGAAACTGGATTAGGGTAGGCGGAGGGGCACTTCAAAGCTGATGGAATGAGATGCCCGGGGTGCTGAAAGACCATTAATGCTTAGTTGGTGCAGCACCCTAAGATTTGAGGGAGCTACTCTGACCCCACTCCTTAACTTGGGCCCCTCAGGCAATTCTGCTGCCACAGAGACCACCAGGAACAGCAAATAGTTGATAGGCCATGCCTGAAAATAGAAAAATTCACTGTAAGTTAAGATTTGGTTAAAGATAAACCCAGAAAACTCAAGAAATCCAGAAGCGTTCTCAGGCTCCCTCCGTGGTAAAAATTAGCTTTATGGAAAGTGCTGGATGCTTTCTAAGGTTCCTTAATCCATTGGTTTAAATACTTGATAATATGGTTTGTAGTGAGTTGAACAGTGAACCGTGAAGAAACACTTGATTCATCTAGTATTTTTAAAAGTCTAGGATCCTTGGGAATTCACTTAATGAAGACTGCTTTTGTGCATACTGAGAAAAAGGAGAAACACACAGTCCTAAAAATTACCTTTCCTTTCTAAGAATACTCTTGGAAAAAGAGCTATGATTTTAAAACGTGTATATTTTGTACATTTGGGAGCCTGTGGAAAACTAGTTCTCCGGGAAATCCAGAGAAAGAAATCTTACCATGGCCAAACCAGCGGAACAGACCCATTTTTCAGTGAGGACCTACACTTGGCTTATAGTCATTTGCTGGCCAACGTGGCCATGACAGTCATCACCTTGCTCTGGTTCTCTCTCATCCAAAGCTCCTTCTCCTTACCCAAAGTACCTCCTGCTGGTGATACCCGGCCATCTGCTGTCCTGACAAGGTGGGTGATCTTGGTTTTCCTTGCTTTTCTCTTTTGGCTGCCCACCAAGGGTTCTTGCATTGTTGTTGGCTCTGGAGTGTTGGGAATGGATAGGGCATTTTTAACCTTATGAGCAGGCTCTGTGGTGTTTTTGTCTTCTGAAAATATGGCTGAAATAGGACAGATCATATATAGTTACACACAAAAACATAAGACGTAGACATTGCTCTTACTCTTAGAAAGAAACATTTCTCACTGCTTGACCCATCTGACTGGTGAATGGAGATTTAGAGCTCTCAAAGTACTGATGGGGAAAAAAAAAACACTGACCATAATTTTAAACCAGTATATTTATATTTGCTTTGATAAATTAAGTACAGAGGATTCAGATGCCCCCTCTCTCTTTTAACCGAGTACTGAACCAAGAGGCCATTGGAGTAACATTTTCTAAGTGTTTAGATATCTTATAGGTTGGTGGGGAAGACAGTGTATGCAAATCTGAGTGGATTGTGCCCCAACAGCCCATAATTTCTACATGTGGCCAGGGTCCCTGCCCAAGATACTCCTGTCCACCTAGGTGGTCTGGGGAAGATGATAAAAGGGAGTTTCTCTTCTGAGGACACAGAGATTAAATACGTGCTTCTTAAATTTATCGTTACCATTGGGACACTTGCTTTCAATCACCGGGCAGGACTGATTAGAAAAGAAATTGTTTGTGAGGCTTGGCCTTCTTTTATACATACTGACTGCTCAGGAAAGACCAGACCATTGGTCACAATGTGTGTTGCCCACACGTGTGATGCCCACACGTAAGGAAACACTCTCCCATTCACTGATTCCTAGGACCAAGTGAATGTGCTTAGTGAGATAATGAAGTACCACAGGGCAGCAAGGCTCCAGGAAGGGTATTAGGTACCCTAATTCTAACTGTAATGCAATGAATCATTTAACAGCATACACTTCTATCCGAGGAGTCACTGTGTCAAGAATAAGGAGCATACTTGCTCCTGGTTCAAACAGCTGATGCTTCTATCTTTTCTTATATACTCATTTCCTTAGGAGTTCATTCTCCCCACACTCAATTTAAAAGTAAGACCAGTATATGTGGATAGGAGTACACTAAGCATTTAAGAATATATACATGTCATCAAATTTAGTAACTGGAATTTTTTTTTTTACTTTTTTTAAAAAAATTCCCATGGCCTAAGGGCCATTCAGCAGGGAAAAGAGGCATCCTTCCATATTTAAACCATCCAATCTCTTAACACAGGCACAGAAATAGTTTCTGACAAAGAGGGGAGTGTGGCTGGAGAAATCAAGGTTGGCCAAGGCCCACTCCAGGCACACTGGGTCCACGGGGATGACTGAAGGTGCTGATCGCAAGGCCGAGCTGAGGGGAGACGCTGGAAATACAATGCTATCGCATAAGAGGAAGATAAAGCTAAAATAAGAGGGAGAGTACAGAGTAAGAATAACTCAGGGTGTGAAAAAATGCACATGCTGGTATAAACTCTTGCATGGGCTTCACTTAAAACATTTTAATCTACGTTTTTAATGAGGTTAGGTGTATCCCTGAGAAAGGAGGGCTACGATTCGTAACATCTCTGCCCTCAAGAGACTGATTGCAGACTTCCCATTCCAAAACAAGCAAGAAATCATTTCAATTACATCAAGAGAAAGGATGTAAAGCAGGAATCATACCGTGATTTGTGGCTTGGCCTTACCTCAATATAGCATAATAGATGGCTTAGAGGGACAGGCCTAAGATAATAGTTATTTAAAAGAAACTACTTGGCAACATTTCCAAGTATCTTTTCAAACAAGTAATCAAAATTAGGAAAAAGGCTCCTTTGAAATTGTAGATCTGTATCCAGGAAACAGTCTTGGTGTATTTATACTTTGATATTTAGCTTAACATAGCCAGGGCTGGTGTGTATTTTAAGATTTTTTTTTAGTTTAAACTTCAATAAAAGCTGCCAGTAAAATAAAAGATAATTTGGTTAAGGAACACTCCAAAGAAGTTTCATGACTCTGCATTAGCCCTGAAATTCAAAGCCTCCGATAGGTATAAAGAAGCCAGAATATGAGTTTACAATGAGCATAAATAACCTCTATTAAATATTCATAAGCTTCAAAATTTCTAGTTTCTTATCCAGATCCATCAGTTGTCCCTTCTTATTATTTGGGGGGATCTTAATCACCTCTCCAGTATGATCACAACATTACAGACGGCCCTTCTAGAAAAAGCACTAACCTATTCCCTCTTCTCCTTCCACTTCCTAGGAAAATCTAGAACTTGGGAAATAAGGGTATAGCAGGGTTCCAAAGATGAAGGGTGAATTACATCAGAAGAGCTGCTTACAGAAAGAATGAACCAGGAGGTCAAAAAAAAGGCCAAGTGGGTTAGGAAAAGACGACCTGATTTCTACACAAAGACAACAGGGTAATGGAAATGACAGTCACAGAGAGACCTAGATTCTATTCCTGACTTTTTAACTTACTAACTGCAGGACCATGGGTCTCAGTTTCTTCATGTTAAGGTGGAGGCTGGACTAGATTGGCTCTAAAGGAGCCATCAGCCCCCAAATTCTTTTCATTTGCCCCACAGCCCAGAATTAGGGTCCCAGCCAGCCTCTAGCCAGTTCCAGAATCTCAAGGCAAGGGAATCCCTTGACAAGGACTGTTAGTTTTTGCTTTTGGTTAGCCTTCAAGTGGTCTCATTTCTTTTCAGTGGTTGCTCTGTTTCCTGTGCGTTCCAGATGAATTAGTTAAAATCCAATAAGAAGCCAAGGGGACGGCTGCAAAGAGACTGGAAAAGGAGGTAGAGTTAACGCCTAAGAGCAGACTGGGACTAGGGGAAACCCAGAAACCAGCAGACAAGGAACAAGGGTGTAGAAGGCAGGCTGGCCAACAGACACCAGCAATCAAGTCCCAGAGCTGGTGTACTGGAGAGAAAAAAGGAGCGAATCAAGTTGAAGACCAAGCAGAAGCGGCAAAATGTGGGAATACACTGCAGATTCTCATAAGTCACTGAAAAGGAGGCAGTGCACCCCTCTAGATGTCTCCTCTAAAGTAATTGCCAGATCAGGAAGTAATCCTGGGGCCTACAGATTGTCCACATCTGAAAGTGGGACATAATGAGACCTCACCAGAATTTGGAAGGGGAGAAGAATGAGTCTGCCCCATGCTTTGATGCAGAACATGCTTTTATCCCCAGAACATCCTGTGCTGCCTGGAGGCCAAGACCAACGGCAGCCTTCAGGTCAGCACTCACACAGGACCCTATCCGAAGACAGAAGAATTGGGAGAGACAGGTAACGCTAAGTTAAAAAAGTGGTTGTCTGGGACGCAATAGTAGATCTGAGTCCAGCAACGTTAGCAAAGCAAAGGAAGGCCTGGTGGTGAGAGAAAATGGAAAAAGCTCAGAGAGAAAAACAGTCTGAAGCTGAGCACCAAGACAGCAAGTCAGTTCCTTTCCCCCACCCTCCCTGCCAAACTAATGGAAATGTGAGAAAAGAAAGGCTTTTGTCCTCTAAAAACAAATTAGTCATTTCTCCTTCGGCTTGTAATTGAACACACAAACCTACCCAAGCACTTCGAAACAAGTCCACAGGGCTAGTTTTTATACTCCACGATAATCATAACACACTTGGAGCGTATCATCTGAGAGAGATAATGTGAGCTCACTCCTGGAGCAACACTAGGAATGTGGCAATAAGAGACTGCCTTGTTTTCCAAACCCTGCTCCCAAAATGTGGGGTAAATTTTTTGAGATAGCAGCACTGTGGTTGTACTGAACCCCAGGAGGCCACTAGAGCGCTCCAGAGTCATGAATTCACGTTCCAACTAGGGGAATCAAACTTGCACGGAAATTATTACAGCCAAATCTGGAATCTCATCGCCTTTGGTTGGTCTCTTTTGAGCTGAAAATGCTGTCAGATGCTGAATGGAACACAGGAAAGAGAATCAAATGAATGAGCCTTATCTAAGACCCCAGGAGACCTTGCTGAAGTTACATGGCAACTATTTTGAACTTGAGAAAAGAGATCAAGGTTAGTCTGAGTGTTACGGATCGTGTTTGAAAATCTAACTATAAACCAGATTTTTTTCTCCTCTGTAATTAGGTTTATATACCACAAAGGAACTAATCTTCTGAAGATTCTCATTCTGAGGTTTTGGTTGTTTTGTTTTGTTTTTTTTCCTTTAAGATACCATTTATAATTGCGACATCTGAGCCAAATAAGGGACTCAGATATGCCTGAAAAATTGAAACTGTAAGAAGCCAATGTGCTTTAGTGGAAAGAGTGCTGGTTTCTTTTTTTCCTGCTTATGTTGGTCAGGCTTCAATTCCTTGTCATGTATTTGGGGGCTAATAAGTCCTCCTGAATTCCCTGAGGCTCCTGCCAAGATTAGTTTCTCAAAAAATATTGTTAAAGCCCTCTAGAAACTATAAAGCAATATTAAGTATTAATTATCATCATCGTTATTATTACAATTAGAAACCACCAGCTTAAGCACGAACATAGGACATCATAACCTGGTAGAAAAGATAAACACAGTTGCAGATACAAATCATGTAGGTTTATCTGAAAATCTAACCTTTATTCTAGGCTGAGAGGCAATCTTTTTTGTGATCTGCAAGTTTCAAGAAATGGTTTAGGGACTTTGAATTGTAAAAGCATGGGGGAAAAAATGCTTAAAACAGATTATAAGCTTAGCATTTAAACTGCAGATGTGATTACTAAGCACCTAAAGATTTCTGATATTTTGGGGAAAAAAATGAATTGCAAGCCAATTATACTCAGGATGGTGTAGAGAAAGCATAGTGAACTTGAAGTTATCCCTTTAACAGAAGTCAGGAACAGGAAGCTGAGTGAAATGTCTCAGTGGGAACAACATTCTAGTACAGACATCAGCTACAAATGATTTCTGTGTAACCTATGCCCAGGACGGCTTGTACATTTTAACACTGTGATCATGGTTTCGTCCTCTCTCCTTATTTACATATGTTCTCCAAAGTAAAGCTTAAGCCATAGGGGAGAGAGGATGCAGTAAAGGGCCTAGCTAATTTACTAGGTCACCAAGTCACCACCCGAATAAGGAAATATAGGGGATGGTATAGAAATTAAGAGCCAAAAAGATCACTTTAAATTACTGGTAATTTCTTTTTTTTTTTATTTTTATAAATTAATTTTTATTGGTGTTCAATTTACCAACATACAGAATAACACCCAGTGCTCATCCCGTCAAGTGTCCCCCTCAGTGCCCATCACCCATTCACCCCCACCCCCCGCCCTCCTCCCCCTCCACCACCCCTAGTTCATTTCCCAGAGTTAGAAGTCTTTACTGGTAATTTCTGATGCACAAACTCATTCCTTTATTCCTGGCCATATGAAATGAATATGCACTCTACACCTAAAGACATGCAGTTTTCAGCACATATTCTTCAAAGTTTGTAACATATGCATATACATTACTAATATATAATATAATTAACATCACCAGTAATAATAACTCTATTCCCACACTAAACCCTTGGGATAGCCTAGAAGACTTGAAATTGATTTACTTTTCTGCCCCCTAAAGGGCAAAATTAGGGCTGCAGAATAAGGTTACTTCCAGCATCACCCCACCCACTCAAATCACGATACTAAGAGCAAGTGTGAGAGGGGAAATGACATTTGAAAAAAAAAAATAGTAAAAAAAAAAAAAAAGAAAAGAAATGACATTTGAGGCTGCTGTCTTACTACTCCCCACCATTCACCCCATCCCTCAACACACACATCACACGTTCACTTAGTACACGTGTGGAGAGTGAACCTGGTGAGGTTAAACACAATTTGTCCCACTGTAAACTGCTCCCTGGTGGCAGATCTGAGACCGACACCCAGGTCTCCTGATTCCTTCTTTCTACCTCACTGCACATGCGATGATACCGTGTTCTACATGAGACAGGGTTTCTGTTGTTTAAAAAAACAAAACATTTAGAACAGTATCAATTCAGATAAAGAGTAAATATGGTCTTAAGTGCCTCTTTGATTCCTGATTTTTCATCAGTGCCTTACACTTAACAAGTCTGTGCAAAATATATCTTTAAAATACACAAGAGCTAATATATATATATCACATTTTGGATGTTAGCATTTAATGCTGAGAACAGCACAACAATTCAGATTTGGCTTTGCCAGCTAACAGCAGAAACAGTCCTCTGGAGAGGTTCTGAATGTGAAGTAACAGGCTAGAAAACAGATATACTGCTGGCATTTTTTGTAAAAGTGCAATGACATAAAAACAGACATCTGGCTTGTTGTGAGCAGTGCCTACCAAATAAAAACAATTTCATGTTTGCTATAAACTCAAGTTTGAGTATTTTTTGATGAATATCTAACTCATGAGTATTTCGGATAAATGACTTGGGCCAAATGTGCATTTTAAATTTTGTCTCCCTTTCAGGAAAAGAACAAAGGTGTATTTGGGAAGCAAGAGACATGGTCTTCTTCAATAAGTCCCCCTTTTGGGTTGTAAGTAAATCAAAGGGATTGGACTCAATGACTTTTAAGATTGCTTATAGTTTTCAAATGAAGCAACTGCTAATTAAGGACTATAAAAACGTTCAGCTTAGGGTGCCTGGGTAGCTCAGTCAGTTAAGCATCCAACTCTTGGTTTTGGCTCAGGTCATGGTTTCCTGGTTGTGGGATCAAGCTCCACATGGGACTCCAAGCTCAGTGTGGAGTCTGCTTCAGATTCTCTCTCCCTCTCCCTCTGCTCCTCCCACCTCATGTGCATAGACATACTCTCTCTAAAATAAACAAATAAAATACTCAAAAAACAAAACAGTTCAGCTCCTTAAAAATAGTTATGATGGAAAAAAAAAAAGAGAAATCAGTGGTAAGAGGACAACCCTTTAAATGTCACAGAAATAATGAGTACTCACTGGAGGGTTCAATATTTAACAGAAATTAGGTAGACATCACAAACAAATATGGCTGTAGGAAATTGTGAAGTAAAACCTGCACCTAGGACCCGTAACATTATGCTAGTCAATATGGAACTTCTTCCTGGTTATCCATAAGCCTCTGGAGCATTCCATCTGAACGTATTTAGAGGTACTGGGAGGTGTGCTGAGGGAGAGCTCATGAGAGGAACACTGCTGACATGCCCATGCCCAACCAACCAACCAACCAACCAACCAGGAGAGCTCCAGGCTGGCTCTCTTCTGCCTCCCATAAGCATCTGCCTGTAACATGAATGCAGTATTTTTAGTTATAAGTTTGTCAAAGGTTATAAGTGCTCCTCTGACAAATTAAGCTCCATACGACACACTGCCTGACCCTTAGCAGGGTCAAAAACCTGTCAGTTTTGATTTGGAAATTAAAAACAACCAGGGATGCCTGGGTGGCTCGGTGGTTGGGCATCTGCCTTTGGCTCAGGTCGTGATCCTGGGATCCGGGGTCGAGTCCCACGTTGGGCTCCCCGTGGGGAGCCTCATTCTCCCTCTGCCTATGTCTCTGCCTCTCTCTCTGAGTCTCTCATGAATAAATAAATAAAAAAGTCTTTTGAAAAAAAAATTAAAAACAACCAAATTATGAGCTCTCAGGTATAGTGCTATTGGGTGAACCTATATAAGTTATGCCTTTTTAAGCTTTTCCAACACAGACTACCTGAAATCATACAGAGAATACTGCTGCTTTTACCTTCTGTAGGGTGAATGGCATCCAAGAAGAGTTGCTTGTTTGACCATTTATCCCCACTTCCTAAAAGCAATGACAGAGAAAGAAAGTGAAACTCTATTTCTAGGACAGACACATAACACTAGAAAAAGAAAACAATACACAAAACAGCTTATATATGAAACATTATCACACAAATGAAGCAGAGTTTTATTTTAACTATTTAATTCTCAAAATGGCATTTGCCAACTAAAATAATCAGGCTATATAGGATATGGATAAAAAGAAACAAATTTGCCTTATATGAAATACACTATTGGATAATTTCTATGACTTTAGTTAAGATAACTGAAGATCAGTTAAAAGGGAATGATAAAAGCTGACATTTTTATCTAAAGGGTGAGGTTTCTCTACTGGAAGGAGGGTAAAAATATTAACATACAAAACAAACCTAAGAGGCTGGAGTGGAGGTGAAAATAAAGCCCAAATTAAGTAAAAGGTTACATACAGGAACATATAGGCACATATATCTACACATGGAAGACAGGTGTATTTAAAGCCTCATTCCAGAAACACAAAAGGCTTCACATCTGGCCATGCAAGTAGGATGGGAATGGGCATCGGATGGATGAGTAGGCTCATAGTAGTCACGACATAACATGCAAGGCGATGCTAAAGAAAGCCCAACTTCCGGGACATGTGGCTGTACTAAATCAGATGGGGAGATTTATCTTTTATGTGAAAGAAGAATAGGAGTCCTGAACTATGAGAAGAAGGAAATCTTCAGATAAGCCCTGAAGAGGTTCAAGGGCCCATCAAAATCATAATAATAAGATAGATGCTCAGAGCGAAGAGTTGGCGGAGGTCAATGCATCTCTATTGCCCTCTGGAAATAAGTTATGTGGCTGAAGGGGGTGGGAAGAGTCTGGCAAATGAAGTAACACAGACTGGGAAAAAAGAGACAGGTTATGACTAAGGAGTGAATCCTCCTAGACAAGAATCCTCAAGGGTCAGAGAAAGTACAGAAATGGTAGCACTTTCATACAAACAGGAAACTCCTAAGGTTTCAGGAGGTAGGAAAACGTGGTCCTGGTTTGAAGGCTGCCAGACATGAGGAAAAATGAGAACAGTCAGAGAAAATAAGTGTATAAGAGCTCAAGAAGACTAAGTTACACAATGCACCAAATATGGATGAAAACAAAGCAATTTTAGGATTCATACGGAACTCTGAAAATAGAGACATTACGGGATTTGAGTGGGAATCCAAGTGAAGGAGATCTCTTTGCAATTAGCTGCGGAGTCTGGAAATAATGAATATGCCTGCATTAGGAGCCGATGACACTGAAGCAAGCCAAGGGGAGGAAAAGGCAAAGGCGGTGCACAGAAGCGGTACTCAAAGATGAATTCACAATGGAGGTGGCCAAGAAACCTTGATGGAGGATGGAAGGCACCAATACCTTTTTCCGGAACATTAGGCTTCTCCTTTTTGTGCTTATATTTGCTGACAATTTTGTGGAATAAGTTCTTTTTCTGAGACTGGAAAGGACCTACAGACAATATTAATATAAATATATTTTAAATTTACAGTGTTTCATAAAACAATACTGTGTGTTCCTAAACAATTACACCCTCCACCCACCTGCGGTACAAGCAAACTGAGTCACAAGATATGTCATCTTGCATAGCTTTACTCATCTACTAGTGTTCAGCGCCCTTCTTTAGGTTTAAATTTAAAACCCAGTTTAATTTTCCTTAGAAAGTGTATTGGGCAGAAGCCCCCATTAGGGTCGGGGCTCTCTAAGCAGAAACTGCAGATTGAGTGACCAGAGACAGACCACAACCCATTAACAGCAGAGTAGCTGCAGTCTTTAACAAAGAAGCAATTTTACTTTATTTAGATTCCTCAGTTTTCTTGAAGGAAAGGATGGCAGGAGCATTTCTTCTGAGAAATTTGGTTTTCATAACAAGAATAGCACTTTCAGGACAAAAATTGGCCTGATAGCATCAGAGAGCCTTCTAGCCTTTGCTGAGGTTATTCCAGGAAGAAAACATGCTTTAAAAAAATAGAAAAATATTTGCCAAAAAAAAAAAAATGGGGTGGGAAAGGAGAGAAGTCTCAGATTGTATCTTCGTTTTTCTCAGATAAAGAAAACAGAACTAAGATTTTTCAATCACCCAATCAGAAATGCCAACAGCAGCACTGACCTCCCCAAAGCAGGTTTCTTTCTATACTTAGCTGATATTTCTATGTGAAACTGACTCAAATCGTTTTATGTAACTTCTGTTTGCTCACCTGTAAATGCGGATAGTGATAGTGCCTAACTCCAAGAGTTGACATGAGGATTTAAAAAATTAGAGACTCCATAAGCCACCTCTGCTCTAACTACCCTCCTGCCGGTATCTGCATCCACATGCATGCCCTCCTGACCAAGACAAACTATTTATTTCCTGCCTAAAGTATGCAACTCACTGGCTTTGATGTTCACATATGTCTGCAACTGTCACTAGCTTTAGAACACTTCCATCACCTCAAAAATAAACCCCATTTCCTTTAGCTATCACCCTTCCCTATTTCTGCATTCCCTCTGTCCCTAAGCAATCACTAATCTACTGTCTCTACCAAGATCTGTCTATTATGGAAATCTCATGTAAATGAATCATGGAATGATTTTGTATCTGGGGTCTTTCACTTGCTATTATGTTTGCAAGGCTCATCCATGTTGTAACATGTATTAGCATTTCACTCTTTTTTAAAGGATGAATGGTATTCCACTGTATGGATATGCAACATTTTGTTTATTCACTCATCAACTGATAGATATCTGGGTTGTTTCCAGGTTTTGGATATTATGAATCAACCTGTTACGGATATTCATATATAAGCTTCTTATGTGGACAAGCATGTTCATTTTTTTCGAACATATACCTAGCAGTAGAATTGCTAGGTCATATGGTAACTCTATGTTTATAAGCTTTTGGAGGAACTGCCAGACTATTTAACATCCTTGTCTTTGATCATGACCATCATAAGGATGAATTTCTTTAATTATAGTTTTGATTTGCATTTTCTGGGTGACTGATAATATCAATCCTCTTTTCAAGGGCTCACAGGCCATTTGTATACCTTCTTTAGAGAAATGTTGATTCTGATAATTTGTCCATTTTAAAAAAAATTTTTTTTAAGATTTATTTATTTATGATAGACATAGAGAGAGAGAGGCAGAGACACAGGAGGAGGGAGAAGCAGGCTCCATGATGGGAGCCCGACGCAGGACTCGATCCCGGGACTCCAGGACCGCACCCTGGGCCAAAGGCAGGCGCTAAACCGCTGAGTCACCCAGGGATCCCCTAATTTGTCCATTTTTAGACCGAGTTGTCTTTCTTTTTATTGAGTTGTAGGAGTACTTTATATATTCTAGGGAAAAGTCCTTTATCAGATATGTAGTTTGTAAATATTTTCTCACATTCTGTGGACTGTCTTTTTTCTTTATTAATGTCCTATGAAGCACACAAGTTTTAAATTTTGAAAGAGTCAAATCTATTTACTTTGTATTTTGGTGTCATATTAAAGGATCCATGGCCAAATCTGAAGTCATTAAGACTGACCTCTATGGGGGCAGCCCAGGTGGCTCAGCGGTTTAGCGTTGCCTTCAGCCCAGGGTGTGATCCTGGAGACCTGGGATTGAGTCCCACGTCAGGCTCCCTGCATGGAGTCTGCTTCTCCCTCTGCCTGTGTCTGTGCCTCTCTCTCTCTCTGGGTCTCTCATGAATAAATCAATAAAATCTTTTTTTTTTTTTTTAAAGATTGACCTCTATGTTTTCCTCATAAAGTTTTATAGCTTTAACTTTTACAAAGAGGTCTTTGTTCCATTTCAAGTTAATTTTTGTATATTGTGTAAGTTTACAGTCCAAATTCATTCTTTTGTATGTAGTTATTGAGTTGTCCCAGCATCATTTTGAAAAGACTATTCTTTTTCCCATTGAGTACTACTGGCTTCCTCATTAAAAAACTGTTGACCTAATAGGTCTATTTCTGGGTCCTCAATTCTATTCCACTACCTATGTAACTATGTCAGTACCACCCTCTCTTCTTGCCTACTGGTTTCTGTGGCTAGTTTTGAAATTGAAAAAATTACTTTGGCCATTCTGAATCCCTCTCTATTCCATATTAATTTTAGGATCTCTTAATATCTATAAAAGAAAATGTCATTCTAACAGAGATTGGGTTGAATCATAGATTAATTTGAAGGACTGTTTCCACCTTAACAATATTAAGTCTTCCAATCCATGAACATGGGATGTTTTTCCATTTCTTATGATTGTCTTTCTTTCAACAATACTTTGTAGTTTTCAATGTGTTGTACATCTTTTGTTAAATTTATTCCTACGTACTTTACTCTTTTTGATGTTATTATAAATGAATTGTTTTCCTAAATTCACTTTTAGATTGTCATCGAAATTATATGGAGATACAACTGATTTTTCTAAATTTTATAAAAAAAAAAAAATATTATTTATATATTTATATTATTTATTTATTATATATATTTATTTATTTATTTATTTAGAGAGAGGCAGAGACACAGGCAGAGGGAGAAGCAGGCATCAGGCAGAGAGCCTGGCGTGGGACTCAATCCAGGGTCTCCAGGATCACACTCTAGGCTGCAGGCAGCGATAAACCGCTGCGCCACTGGGGCTGCCCCTGATTTTTCTAATTTAAATTCTAGTTAGTTGACATACAGTTTAATATTGGTTTCAGGAGCAGAGTTCAGTAGTTCATCATTTACATACAATACCCACTGCTTATCATAACAAGTGCCCTCCCTTAATACCATCATCAATCTATCCCTCCATCAACCCTCCATTTGTTCTCTATGGTTAAGAATCTCTTACGATGTTTCCATCTCTCTTTTTCCCCGATTCTGAATGTTCATCCATTTTGTTTCTTAAATTCCACAAAAGTGAAATCATATGGTATTTGTCTTTATTTGGTTGACTTATTTCACTTGGCATAATACACTCTAGCTTCATTCACATCGTTGCAAATGGCAAAATTTTGTTCTTTTGGATGGCTGAGTAGTATTCTATTGTGTGTATATATGTGTGTGTGTACACACACACAAACACACACACACACACACACACACCACATCTTTAGTCAATGGGCATTTGGGCTCCTTCCATATTTTGGCTATTGTTGATAATGCTGCTATAAACACTGGGATGCATGTACTTCTATGAATATGTATTTTTGTATCCTTTGGGTAAATACCTAGTAGTGCAATTGCTGGATCATAGGATAGTTCTATTTTTAGCTTTTTGAGGAACCACCATATTGTTCTCCAGAGTGGCTACACCAGCTGGCATTTCCACCAACAGTGCAAGAGGGTTCCCCTTTCTCCACATTCCAACTTCTTTGTGTGTCCTACAACCCTGTTGAACTCATTCATCCATAAGTAGTTCTTCTGGGGACACCTTAGGTTCTCTATGTTAAACATCATGTCATCTGTGAATCGAAATAGTTCTTCTTCTTCCTTTACTCAATATACATGTCTTTTGTTTCTTTTTCTTGCCTAATTGCCCTGTCTAGAACCTCAACTACAATGTTGAACAAAAGGGCTGGGAGTAGACATCCTTATTTTGTTCCCTACCTTAGGGGCAAGTATTGTCTTTCACTATTAAATACGATGTTGTGTGATTCTTGTAGATGCCCTTTATCAGGTTGAGGAAGTTTCCTTCTACTCTGAGTTTGTTGAATATTCTCATGAAACATGTTCTGTATCTATTAAGAGGATTATGTGAATTTTCTGTTGTTGTTTTATTGATATAGTATATTACATTAATTGACTTTTTGGATGTTAAACTAACCTTGCGTTCTGGGAGTAAAATCTTGCTTGGTAATGGTATAATTCTTATTATACATTGCTGGATTTGGTTTGTAGTATTTTGTTAAGGATTTTTATGTCTGTATTTGGAAGAGCTATGACCTCTGGTTTTTCTTGTGATGTTTTTGTCTAGTTTTGACATTAGGGTGATAATTGGTTTCATGGAATTAATTAGAAAATATTCCCTCCTCTTCTAATTTTTGAATGAGCTTGTGAAAAATTGATATTAATTCTTCTTTAAATGTTTGATAGAATTTAGCAGTGAAGCCTGGGTCTGTGTCCCCCCACCCCCTTTGGTACTTCTGTGATTACTAAATTCAATTTCTTTTGTAGTTATTGTTCTATTCAAACTATTTCTTAAGTCAGTGTTGGTAGTTTGTGCTTTCTAGGAATTATCCATTTCACATAGGTTATCTAATTTATTGATATGTAACTCTGATTATTGATTTGATATTTTTCTTTCTTGATATATACATTTACAGCTATAAACTCTGCTCTGAGCACTGTCTTAGTTGTGTCCCATAAATTTTGGCATGTTGTATTTTCATATTTATTCATCTCAAAGTATTTTCTGGTTTCCTTATTAATTTCTTCTTGGCCTTATTGGTTATTGAGTGTATGTGCTGCCCAAGTGAGCACTAACTTATTGGCTATTTAGAATG